TCGGCAGACGAGTATGCTGACAAAGCAGAATCCAGTGGTAAACTGACTTTCATCACAAAATCAAACAGTTTGCGTCGCACTGCCAAAGAAAAGAAGGCATCTCTTCAAGACCTTGAGAAGGAAATCGATGAGAAGCTTGCTGAAATTAAGCGTTAAGTTGCTGTTACTGTTGCCATGACAATGGTATTATAAGGGGATGTACTGTACGGACAGTCACATTACAAAGACATTTTCTTTAATTTAACTTTATTTAGTTTGGAGTAGGCTGAGTTGATAGAGGTATGGCTCATCAGTGCTCCCCCTGTCGCTGATGAGCCAGGTATTTTGGCTGAGAAGGACAACCGGCGCGAAAGTGACCAGCCTGGCCACAGTAGAGGCAGAGTCTCTGATGAAGACGGCGTTGACGTTCTGATTGGGTAAGCGTCATCCTTCCCAGCTGCATGGGCTCCATGAGGAAGCGAGAGACCTTGGTAGCAGGAGAAGCACTGGAAGGCCAGGAGTCTGGAGGATGAAGAGAAGGTCCAGGGAACGCAGGCTGTCTAGGAAACTTGGACTGAGGGGGAAGGGAGGTGGAGCTATGCTTTCCTGATCTCTCCCTACGCCTCTCGCGGAGGCGGTTATCTAATCGTGTCGCTAAAGAAATCAACTCCTCTAAGGAGGAGGTTTCATCCCTGGCAGCTAGTTCATCCTTTAAATCATAATTTAGCCCCTTACAAAAAATTCCCAGCAAGGCCATGTCATCCCAACCGCTCTCAGCTGCAAGAATGCGGAAATCTATAGCAAAATTAGCAACAGAGCCTGAACCCTGGCGGAGTGAAAGGAGTCTTTTACCAGCCTCCTTCCCCCTCACTGGATGATCAAAAACCTTACGCATCTCTGCAGTAAAAGACGGTAGAGAATGACTGATAGGCGAGTTGCTGTTAGATATGGCAAGAGCCCATGCTGCTGCTTTATCACTCAGTAGGCTCATAATAAAAGCAACCCTAGATCTATCAGTGGAATAAGTGAATGGTTGTTGCTCAAACACAAGACTACATTGGTGCAAGAACTGACTACAAGACCCTAAATCTCCTGAATACCTGACGGGTGTGGGGATAAAGGGCTCACGAGGATTGCAGGGCTGTCGTTCCGGGTCAGCTTGAGGTGGAGGAGCAGGATCTGGAGCTTGAGCATTGGCAGTCAGCGGGAGAGATGTGCTGCGACCTGATCCATACGGCCTCCGAGGTTGGTCACACCGGAGGTTCATTCCCGAATCGCTTCCATTACTTTATGCAGGGCTCTGTCATGTTGCCCTATAATTACACCTTGGGCAGCAAGCGCTTCCCTGAGTCTCTCATTCTCTGCGGGGTCCATGTAGCCAGAGAATTCTGTGGCGTTTGGATTCTTGGACCCCAAAGCAGAGACAGACACAAGTAAAGTTCAAGGTGTTTAATTAATAATACTAGGCCAAGGCAGGTACTGTCGACTGGCTGGTAGCAGAAAGGTCCAAAAACAAACAGAAGGAAAACATTCCTGGCCAAAAACTCAAAAAGTTGCACAAAAACTGCAAAGAGAAACAAAAACTTGGCTTGGGCTGCAGAGAGGCACTCTGGATCGACGAACAGCATATAATTCTCAGGCAGAGAAGTGAGGTGAGGGCCAGGCTCTTAAAGAGCAGGTTGATTATGTGAGTGAGAACAGGTGTGCCTCATCTGCAGCCAGGAGAATACCAGCCACGCCCCCTGTCACACACCAGCCCTGCACAGAAGGAGAGACAGAGTAGTGAGGGGTAAAAGGAGCAAACAACAGGATATAACACAACAACAACAAAAAACATGCATAAACATAACAATATCTTCACTTCTAAAAGGGGTAAATTAATAATCTTTTTTCTCAAAGCAATGATACACCTGTGTAGAAAAGTCAGAATCAATATAGATGTTTTTATTTTAAAGTAAATTCAGATTGAACATAGTAAAAACCATTACTTATAGTAAAAAACCACCCTTGAATGATCTAGAGATGGGCATGTCCTGAGTCCTGATTCATCCGGATCATTAACCCGGATCCTAGAAATGAGCTGGTCGTGACGAGTCTCCCCTCTCCATTAACCCGAGTCCTTTGAGTCCCACACTTGGTGTGACGTACAAATTAAAACTATAAATTGCGTCACTCGCTACTCTCTTTATAACATGTAAAATCACATTACAACGTACCCCAGTCCATCTGCCTACCCTTTAGCAAGTAGGATAGCTGCCAGAAGTGATCGTTTGGCTCAGGGGACGCGGATCAGTGAAACTTCCTGCAGACTCGTGGGGACTCAGAGGAGCCGACGGCTCCTAACCGTAATAGCATAGCAGATCCAGAGATCCATACTCGTCATGTGCACGAGCATAGCCCCTCCTCCAGCACCCGGCTCCCGCGGCTATATTATGCACGAGCAGACTCAGAGATTCGCAAATCCTGACTCACTGTGCAAAACATAGCAGACTCGTGCAGACTCAGAGCCATAACCGTATAGCAGCAGATCCAGAGATCCAGCAGACTCGTCATCATGCACGATTCAACAGCACTCAGATTCGCCAAATCGCAAAATAACCCTTTTTTTTGTGATTAACATTTTTTATTAAGGCAAAATACACTGTGTAGCGGAGGTTAATATAACGTCAGTTTAATATGCTCGTGAAATGCAACACGTTTTCGGTTTCACCGATAGGATTTCTACGGTCTTGGTGATGCTGACTCATATGACTCAAATGACTCGTATGATCCGGATCTCTTCAATGACTGACTCAGAAGACCCTGAGTCCGTAAAAGGATCCAGATTTGCCATCTCTAGAATGATGGGATAGTAGACAAAAAGCTGTAGGAATCCAAACTGTAACATATAATAAGTACCCTGTATCAAGATTTATACAAAACAAGTTAAATCTGAGCTTTTTAGAGAGGTTTAGAAGAAAAAAAAACACCTCTGGGGTCATTTGGGTGTATTTGCCATATCTCTGGAACCTATTGGTCGATTTTGGTGATTGACACCTCTTTTGAACCGATAGAGCCAATAGAATCAGGGGGGGGGGGGGTTCCTAAATCCACCTACACGTTACCATTGAGGAGTGAGAGTGATGCGCACGCAGTTTGCCCAAACCGAAAGCTATGTTACGCTCTGAAAACTGAAAACTAGGCTTATTGCCATAAATATGATGATGGATTATCAATAATAATTTCAAAGGGAGACAGAGACATTGGATTAACCTTCTGCAGCGTATATGCGTTTTAATGCCATTGAACACAACTTTTGATCAGAAAACAGCAACGGTAAGACGTATTTGCCGTTTTGGCCACGTAAAGTGAAGTTGTGTGTTGTCTTTGCTTGCCTTCGCTGCCCTGAGTTTTGGTCGCACAGTGATGATACTTATACCATTGGAATCTGTGGAATCTCAGCTTTCATGTGATACCGATGAAGTATACAATATTTCTACCGTGAGTTATGTGCTAAGTGAGTTAGCACTCTTTCGCTTAGTGCTAATTCAGACGCTTGGCGTTAGAGTTGTGTTTCGTTTCGGTAAAAATGGTTCATATCGTCAGTTAGCTGAGTTTCTTCCCGTTAAGTGGGTATAACACATTCATAGTTTGTTAAATGTTAAGAAGCCCTCAGATGCTGTTTCTTGCAAGATGTTGCGGGAGCCCCCCCGAACAGGTTAAATCTCATTAACTAAACCAGTTGCAGCAAGTAACTCCCATAAAGCAACAGATATATTGTTTGTTTTTAAAAACCATGGTTTGTGTATGAACAGATTAAACAAATTATCAGTGACGTGCGGTGAGGTTCATGGCTGGTGAGGCACTGACTCTTTCAGAGTCAGATTTACAAATATTATAGCCTATTTTGACCTTAATCGAAATATTCTGTTATTTTCAAAAGCTTTTTTAGTCTGATGCTATGATTAATTTTAAACAACAAACAACAAAAGGATACCCAAAATCTAAATATTGGATTGTTCTTTCTAAGTAAGATCCCATTTTCATTACAGTTGTGGTCTTACCTTGACTTGAAGATGAATATAAGTCCATGCTATCCTTCTGGACAACAATCTCTATTACTGTTTTGTAAAAGTCCTCCTTATCTTCCTGTAGTTTCAAAAGTCTAGTTTCTTTGTTGTTTGCGGTAGAATAACAGTAGCAACAAGAACCTGTGGGCTCACGTGCGCCCCCTTCAGTGCGGCAGAGGTTATGGCTGCCTCCCCTGGTGATTTTTTCATTGCCGTTGTACGAGAGACCAGCGAGCCTAAATATCATATATACATGAAATAAGTTATTTAGAGACTATGGATGGCGAGGATAAATGTAATAAAGGGATCTACAAACATTACATTGGTGACATACAGTGAGATGGTGACAGGCATGCGCTTAGGGCCCGCTTTCCAGCCAGTTTCTGTGGGGTGACGCATTCTGAATTGAGGCAGGGCTCATCTGTGCCTCACCTCAGAATACGTCACCCCACAGTAAATGGCTTGAGCGCGCTCACAAAATAAGTGGCCGCGCTAAATTAGTGCCCGCGCTCCAGCAAGTTACTGTGAGCTTACGTGAGGCACTGCTCGTGCTTGCCTCACTTCTCATTGCTCCCATAGCGGAGCTCGGCAAATTTGCTGATTTTGACTATAAAATGCGATTGGAATCATACAGAAATCACATTTACACAAGATCAGTGGAGACATTTTATTATTATTATTATTTAGTTTTTCTTTAATTGTTTTTCCGTTACATTGGAGTATGACAGGTGAGGCTCTGCCTCCCCTGCCTCCACTGACTGCACGTCGCTGCAAATTATATATAAAGAATTTTAGAGAACTGTAGAGGTCTCGGTACGTGTATTATTTAACTTTTTGAGCCAGGCTAGCTGTTCAGTTTCCCTGCTAAGGTCGAGCTTTTTGCGTTGTAGAATATAATAATAATATATAATTATCATTGTCAAAATCATCACAAACACAGTCATAAATCAGGAGATTTTAAGGAAACACAAATAATTGTGAATATAATCATTTATTTACTTTAGTCCAAGACATGTAAATGTCTGTTCTTTCAAGATATAAAATGTGTCTTAAATAAGCAATTGTTCTATTTCATATGTATGTACATTATCATAATTTAATTAAAACCCTTGAAGACTTCCTTAAAACTAACCACAATCACCCCAAATCATGGAAGAGCACAGTTAGAGTTAGTAAGTTAGCACAAGCCGTCCAGCAGTTTGGAATTTGTCTCTGTGTTCTTTTCTTATATATCATTTTAATCAGCTTTATTTTAAAAAGAAAGAAGTGTAATATCTGAATTGAAAAAGTAGAGAAGGTAAGCGTTGTTGTATAGTATGCACAGAGAGGATTCAAGGCTTTGGATGCTCTGAGCTGGTAGACATCAACGTATAGCTGCTGCTGTGCGGTGTTGCACTGGAAGTTGTGCAGCTGGCGTTTGTCATGGCTAATATTGCTGGTGCCATTATGGCTGTGGTTGGTGTCCCATTGTTGCTTCTGTTGCTCTACAAAATGGCTCTAATTTCACATGCTGAAAGATATCTGGTGTGATGTCATCCTGAGAATGGTTTCCTGAACTGGAGGGTTGAGCAAACTCCCACTGAAGCAGCAGAGTCTGTGTGTGCTCTGCTTTTGGTTTGTCAGGATTAACCATCAGAGCATGATTTCTGGAGAGAGAGAGAGAGAGACAGAGAGAAAGAGTTAGTGCCATAATGAAAACTCAGAGGTTTATTCAAACCGGTTACGTTTTAGGTCGTTTAAGAAAAAAAATTGAGTTTCACAACAAACCTACAGAGCCCCTAAACGGACATGAAAATAAAAAAAATAACACACACAGAGCTCATCTAAGCAGAGCAGAAATAGACACACATCATGTGCCCTGGTGACCTGACATCTCCTTCATAAAATGTATAATTGGGCAGTGTGTGTAGAGGTGTGTGTGTGGGTGTAATAGCAGTCTGGATCAGCTCCGTTGTACCCCCGTTTTTAGAGATGTGTGGTTAGCCAATTGCTGATTCAAGATATGAACGTGTGTCATAAAATGTAGCCAATCAGCGTCCTCAAAACTACTACCGGAGGGGCGATTATTTTATGGCCCCAAGTAAGCAACTGCTACGCAACTGGAAGAGACGGCCACAGGATTGCGGTGAGGAAACACAATGAGGAGGTGGATAAAAACAGGCATATTTTATCCAAAATAATGAAGTTGTGTGGGGCTTTTGAGTTGGCTTTGCGTGGGCATGACGAGACTGACTCTTCAGTCAACCCTGGCATTTTCAGGGGATTGGTGGATTTTGTTTCCTCCCTGCACACTGTGCTGGAGGAGCACCTAAAGACCGCCACCGTTTTTAAAGGCACGTCAAAAACATACACCACATAGAGTGGTGCAGGGATTATGTATTTACCCGGAAGTAAGCTGTGCATGGGTTCCCTTCGACAAAAAAGCAATGGGATTTCACCATAGGATTTTGGAAAATAGCTCGAAATAACGTTATGCTATAAACGATCTACAGCAGGGTCGCACGACTTCAACGTCACGCCAATTTAAGATCGATATTCAAAAATACAGATTCAAAATTGTACAAGTTGAAGCGTTTGTTTTAACAGTTTGCAAGCGCGCATGTTCTTGCTTTCAAGCAGAACAGGGGCAAACAAACTTAGCGGGAGTGTTTACGTGTTCGACGTAATGACATACAACGTCCTCGACGTCCTCGACAACCATCGTTTTTCAGACACGTAAACTCTTCAAAAATCACCAGTGGGGTCACTGCTGATGTATTTAATGTCGTAGAACAAAAGGTGATCCATCTCTTAAATTTGTGTCAACCACAGACCTTATTGCCAGCTATTTTCCAAAATCCTATGGAGAAATCCCATTGACTCTGAGACGAGGGAACCGGTAGTGTTAAAATGCTAACTCACTTCCGGGTTTTAGGACTCGTCACAGCACCACTCTATTGACTTTAAAGGTCCCATGACATGGCCATTTCTACTGATCATAATTCCATTGTTGAGGTCTACTAGAATAGATTTAGATTGTTCAATGTTCCAAAATCACATTGGTTTCTCATACAACATCTCTGTATAGTATGGAAGCCTGTTTGCGCCACAGGAAAATAAAAACTATTTTATACACACTATAATACAGTGAATGTTAGGCTCTGTTTGTTTGCTGTTTTTCATTCATAACATTTCTGAGCACACACTATGTAAATAACATTAAAACATGGAAACTAACTTCCATTTAAGGAGATATTTTTTAAATGGATTGACTTGATAGATTTTCATCATTCACAATTCAACATAAAAAATGTACTGTTACTGTAGCATTAAGGGACCCTGTGTTGTACAATGAAAGGGTAGGGGATGAATTATGTGAGAGAGGGCCCTCACAAGTATAGAAGTACCAACACAAGAGTGTGTGTGAGCATTTATGTCTATCCTGATGTTTTTCTACTAAAAGATTAAGTGTGAATATAATTAGGAGAACAAAACTCTGTCCCTCTCTCTATTAAACCCATATTGCCTTGTCTTGATAAAACCATGTACAGAACTAACTGTCTCTCTGTCTCCTTTCTTCTCTCCTGCAGCACAGTAAACGTAAGCCTGTGGACACAAAGAGTCCAATTAATGTGGAGAGCCTCCATGCTCATCATTAGCTTCTCCATTAACCCCTTGACACCTCCTCCCTGCTGCTGCATTAATGAGGGGGGCGGGGCTACAATTAGGACCACTTGTCTGCGGACGCCTTTTGCCTGCACACACATTTTAATTATACATGAAACAGGAGCATGGAGAGAGCACACAGCAGGAGAGCAGGAGTGATATCAGAGATCAGCATGTCTGCCTCGCTTAGCTGTACAGCATATACTGTCACTCCCATATTCAGTGCCGCCATGATAAAATGTATTTCCTCTAGACCAATTGTGCCAACCTTTAAGCGAGGATTGTGAAATCCTCAGTGTCAGTTTATACTCTAACCTCTTAAGCACTGGGCCTATTTGTCAGGCCTCAGGCTCGAAAATGACATGCCCAGAATGAATGAGTATATCTTCACAACTAAAAAGGGTATATGAATAATCTTGTTATCAAAGCAATGATACACCTGTGAGTTGGCTGTCGAAATGTCAGAATCAATATAGATGTTGCTGTGTCAGAGTCAATTCAGATTGAACATAGAAAATTCTAATCTCCGCCTAAAAAAACCACATTATTTATAGTGAAAACCACCCTTGAATGATGGAATAGTAGAAACTATAGGGATCCAAACCACATATATCATAAGTACCCTGTGTCAGGATAGAAGCACATTTTGTAAAACTTGACATTTTTTAGAATATGTTGGCACAGGTAGGTCCAGGCTCACCTTTGGGTACATTTGGTTACCATCAGTGCCATTTGACCTTTCTCAGGTACCACATTTTATTTAATTGAAATATCATTATAGGTATTAATTCCATCCAAATACAACTGTTTTTGACCTTTTTGGAAAATTCACCAAGACCTCTATACCTTTGTTCGCCACAAAGCGTAACTTAAAATGACGACAGCACTGTTCGAGGTATTCTGTGACTGTCCAAGTCTGTTCATAGTTTCTGTTCCACTAACATGTCCTTAAACACTGCAGAGCCCATACTGTGTTCCTGTTAGTGTTTACTTCCTGTATGTCTTCTTCTGCTGTTCATGTTAGTGTTTTCTTTCTGTCTGGGTGTTTCTCAATTTCGAGGAAGGCTCCTCCAGAGCCACTATTTCAAGGATGCTACGTCATCGAGTCCCGCCGAAGGACTGTTCCAATGTCCAGGCTCCTTGGAATTCTACCGAGGCCGGTGTCCTTCGTTGCGGGAAATTTCGAGGCTGCACATGTGTATCCTCCGCGGTCTTAAAATCCCCACAATGCTTTGCGCACGGACCAATTTCCAAAATATTTGGCGGAAATCGCGCTTCATTTAAGGCGGGGCCTCACATATGACGCACACCTGATAGCCTGTTCCACCATTCTTAGTTTTCCGAGGCTAGGAAGGATTCTTGCCTCGCTGCTGAAGGAAGAGACTCTGAAGACATGTCCTACCAAGGAAGCGTCCTCAATATTGAGAAACACCCACCCTCTTTCTTCTTCTGCTGTTCATGTTAGTGTTTACTTCCTGTCTCCCTTTATGGTGATTTCTCTGACGCCCGACGCTTTGGTTTCGGTCGAATTGTCCAAAAATCAGCTCCTATTGTCTTTTCCTATGCACTAGTCCTCTGTGTGAAACGTCACGGGATTAAGGAATAGTGGTTAGGAGAATTCAAAAGGATTTAGGAAGATACGACCAGGCTTCAGGAGAATCTGACTGCACTGACACTATCCGATGTATTTATGACGCACCAGCGGATGTTCTTAACATGTTAAGCCCGAGAGACCCCGGTACCGGGGCACTGCCGCAACATCTTGCAGGAAACAGTGTCTGAGGGCATGTTCATTTAATAAACTATGAATGTTTTATATCCATGTAACGGGAAGAAACTCATCTAACTGATATTTTTTTTTTTTTTTCAAAAGAAAACCCACAATGCTAACACTGAGCCTCTGAATTAGCAACGAGCGAAAAATGCTAACAGATTACTGCACCGAAAATCACTCACAAAACCTTATTATTTATCTTTTCTCCACATCCATGACATCGATTCACATCGTGAGGTGACACAGAATCGATGGGTACCCTCATTATCACTGAATTATACGAAATCGCGACATTATAAACAAAAATAGACATCAAAACAGGTGACGCTAGGTAGCTAAAAATGCTAACATTTTTACCTTGGCTCTGTAGTCTCTCCAAAGTGGTCTTCAATGGCATTAAAACGATAAAAACGCTGCTGAAGTTAATCCATAGGTTAATCCAATGTGTCTATGTCCCTTTGAAATGATTTCTGATAATCCATGAGCAATAAAACGGATAATCCATGCTTTTACGTTTCTAGATGTCAGAGCTAGACTGTAGCTTCACTCTAATGCAAAGTTACATGCGCAAAGCCCCCACCTTTTTGTTTCACAATGAGTGTGTGTGGGGGACTCCCCCTTCGATTCTATTGGCTCTAACGGTCAGAAAGAGGTGTCAACCATCAAAATCGACCAATGGGTTCCAGAGATATGAAACAAAAACAATTTTCACCCAAATCACCTCAGAGGTGGAGTGTTTTTGGCTAAACCTCTCTAAAAAGGTCAAATGTCACTTGTTTTGCATCAATCTCGATACAGGGTACTTATATGTTGTACTTTGGATTCCTAAAGCTTTTAGTCTACTAACCCATCATCCAAGGGTGGTTTTCACTATAAGTAAAAAAGAATTTTTGGACGGACACTATAATTTACAGTTTTTTACTATGTTCAATCTGAATTTTCTTTAAAATAAAAAACATCTATATTGATTCTGACTTTTCTACATCCAACTCACAGGTTTATCATTACTTTGAGAAAAAAGATTATTAATTTAACCCTTTTAGAAGGGAATATATGGTCATTTGTTCTGGGAATGTCATTTTCGAGCCTGAGACCTGAAAAACAGGCTCAGGGCTTAACAGGTTAACTCCTCCGTCTTCAACAAGGAGAATTCAGGTGTTGTTAAAACAACCAGACAGACTTCATTATACACTATTTAATATGATTAGCTCTGTGTCTGATGTTTCA